ACTGACTCAACGCTGTTATGCTACCGACGTAAGTTGATCGCGCGCCTTGAAATCGATGCAAAGCTTGGCTGTCTGTCCAACACGCCTTGACGTCTATTGCACAAAATAACCTGGTTACCCCGTGCGCCACTACCCTCGACCATCAATCTACTAGGGAAAGCCCCAGAAACCCAAAGCCCCAGGCATTTTTCATAAATAACTTCTTAACGGTTCTGAACACGGCGCCGAAGTGTTGGGTTCATGAGCTTGCGTAATTTTTGCCTGCACTGAGACATTTTGAAGTTCCTAACCTAAGCAGTGCATGCAATACTACATCTTCCTCGAGGTCTTGTTGGCAACATTTTGCTGAGGAGTGAAAATTAAAGCTTATTCATCGCAAGTTTTCTAGCAAGCATTTTTAACTGTATTACTCTTAAGTGCATTACTATCGATGTGGCTGCTATTTGAGGGTTAGGTAATTCAAGGTCAGGCTAGACCAAGCGCTGGCTTTTGTGACCGGATTTTGTGTTTTGAAGTACGCACGATTTGAACCTTAATGATTCATATCTTTCTGCTTCAAATGGTATTGATAACGCTGCTTTCTGTACTTACCGCAATGCTGTATTCCCCTTTGATGTGGTTTGCCCTGCTTTGATACAGCCAGATGGGGCAATGAAACAATGGTTTTCACCCCTTCGAACCAACATGACATACCATAGGTCAGATATGTTGTTCAAGTGACATTAACCCGACCACGACCCTGTAGCTGGGTGACGTCTTATTCATCCCCGTTCTGAATTAGACCTGAAACACGCCCGTTACTTTTCCTAAATACCGTAGCCTTTACCATAAGTCATGAGACAGCACGATCGTTGTAAAGCATCATTGTCACCTGCTGCATTGTTCGTCGATGAAGTATCTGTCGTATGGGCAATTATGAAATTTTACTTAGATATCGGGTGATAGGATGTGATAATTTGATCTGCATTTAGGTACATTGACGAATGACAGCTGACGAGCAGCACTCGCACCCCTCAGACGCATACTAACATTGTGCCTTACGAACCGATGCACCTATGTGGCTTTGGAATCGTCCTCAACAGAACAACCTACTGCGTCTTTTTACCTCTGGGCCATGGGCAGCAGACAACTGGAACAGCTAACTCTTCTTCAATTTTTCTGCATCATGGTTGCCGGGCACGTCCAATTCGGCGCGTGCTGTTAAGGCTGGTCAAAGGCCCTTTTCGTATTTTGAGAGCGACACGTCGGACAATTGGTCGGAGCCGAAACCAATCAGCTGTGGGCCGTGGAGTGGGTCGTCACCGGCGAAGGATGGCACAGATGAGACGCTGTTGGCCGTAGAGCAATTGCCACGTGTGGACCCTGCAAACGGATACCTCGTGGCACTCCCAGAGGAACTGGATCTTCGTGCAAACCACCTTGATCTATTCTCGTCGAACTGATCTGACGCGATGAAAGCACTCACGTGCCGATTTTGTGTAGGTGCAGCGCAGCGCGTGCATTACTCATACTTTTTTGCTCTCCATTGGGCTCATTAGTCTGGTTGTGGTGCCTCCAGATTGGTTTATTGAGGACGTATGTGTAAGCGCGTGATGGCATGGACTCCTCGGGGCAGCGAGGTCATATCACAGCTGTGGATATTGACGTACCTTGTCTCTCACTTAACGCAAGCTCAGCGCTCATTCTCGCTTGTCCCCAGCGAGGGCACCTCCATTCGTGCTACGTGTTAGCAAGTCACACAAGGCGCAGAAACGCCCGACGCTGCGGCCCCAGCTCGGACACGTCAAGAGCGCCCCTCCGTTTCCACGCTCGTGAGGGTGACGAGTGATGTCGCTTAGTCCGTGCGAAGGAGGCGTGACATTCATCAAGATGTTATTGCAGCCAGCTTGGTGGCCGCTCGGAGGTGGGACATCCGCATCACCCACTTTGGCTGGTGATGAACGGCTGCTGGCGCCTTTGATGGTGGCATAATTCTTGACGCGGCAGCACCTGGCTGCGCGAGATATGGCCCTGTCCCATCCACCCGAGACGGCTGATGACGGTGTGTTCTTGTGGAAGAAAGACGGACAGAGAGAATAGTAGAGATAAAGATAAATAATAGAAAAATAAGAGATAAAGATAAAGACGAGGGAGATAGGAAATAAGGAGCAAGTGTGGAGAAAGGTGAGTGGCTGGGTGGGAAAGAGACTGTATGGAACAGTTTAAAATGTCGGCGCATTTAAACTTCCTGTGTGAAGACATCAAGGCTGGCGATGATCCATGGCTCTGCGTGCGTGCCAACCTTCGACAGGAAGTCAATCTGCATCAATGTGAAACTAACTCCCTTACACGTTCGCAGTCAGTGAAAAATGGGCTTTCATCTGAAGCCCCAATACATTGTAGGACGTATAGCGGGATGTCAGGCATACGCTGCATGCCCCCCCCCCCCCCTCCCCCAACATATCTACATGTCATGATTCCTTTCCCGAGTCTATGCATGCAGAGTTGAAAAACGCCAAGAAAAAAGCTAGTCCGGCACCGTGGGCTGTGATGCAGGAAAGTGGTATGCGCCTTGGCTACCTTTACCCAGCTGGCGCACTAATAAGCAAAACGTGTCACCTTAGGTATCCATAACTGACGCGCAATGAGGCTGAAAACCGCCCAAGGCACCTGTTGACTCCTTGGATCCTGTTTCTACAACGAGCGCGCTTGATACGCGCCACTGATCACGTCCTGCAATCCAAGATCTAGTCGTAGATGAGTCTTGTTCGCTTTCAGAAATTACAAACACGTCGAGTTGTTATTAGAGCTGAGGAATCGCGTTCACAGGATTCAAATAAATTCGACTAGCAAGCTCCATACCATCACGAAAGAGGGTAGGAAACTTTTTTAAAGACGGCTCTTCTATTGTGACACACACAAACACACACACACACACACACACACACACACACACACACACACACACACACACACACACACACACACACAACACACACACACACACACACACACACACACACACACACACACACACACACACACACACACACACACACACACACACACACACACACACACACATCTATATATATATATATATATATATATATATATATATATATATATATATATACATATATATATATATATATATGTGTATATATATATATATATATATATATATATATATATATATATATATATATATATATATATGTATATATATATATGATCTGATGACCGGATCTAACCCGACTTGTTCTCTTTTCTGAAAGGACTGCAAGGCAAAACTTTAAAACATGGTAGACACCATATGCACCGCAATGCATCATTTGCACTGTATCCATCCACATCCACTTTTTTTGCTTATGGCGGTGCTGTAGTTCGAACGCGTCTTTTCCAGTCAGAGAATGCTCAGCTGGAGCAGCAAGGCCTGGTCTGGACTGGATCGATCCGTCCTGGCCGTCATGTTATGTTATGGCCGTCATGTTATGTTATGGCCGTCATGTTATGTTATGGCCGTCATGTCATGTTATGGCCGTCATGTTATGTACAGGCTAATAGCTTTACAACCACTGATTACAACTTCACCGGATTGTTTGCAAAAAGTGCGGTGTTTTAAAAGCTGGGTTATAAAATCTGAAGCACTAGCTTGCATGCTGCTCGATTAGGCATCTTTTTCTTTCAGCATGCCATTTAAAACTCAACATCACCTTCCTCAGTAATTTAACAAAGGGAATACGAAAGTCGCTTTTCACCAAAACAAGTCACAAAAACTGCACAACGCTGGTCGAACCCGGTCCGAGGTTTCGACGACAGTTGCAGCGCCACGATATCAACGCATTTCGACGAAGGAGGTAAGGGCAATCCTAATCAGAAAGTCGCGGGTCGGTGTTCACAGCCCATCATGCGTTCTCGAGGGCAGGTCGGACATTCTTTCGTGTTTAGGTATTCATATAAGATATTGCAGCCAAGGAAGATAAAGCTGTGAAGCCAACTGCACTGTGTATGTAAATGTGCTCTCTATAGATCACTGCGCCATATTAACACTGTTGGGGCCACACGCGCAGCCTAATAAAGTAATGGCAGCCAACTTTGGTCTGACGGAGGACGTTCGTCACAGTTACTACAGTTGCAGTTACCAGGAGCTGTCAATCCCTTTAAATTCATCAGCCTTGTCGAGTGAAATTGCCAGGCCTGGATAGGTCATGAGCCGCATAAGCCATCGAATTTTTGAATAGTGCTTTCCGTGAAAATAAGCGGCTGAGCTAGCACGTCAGAGAACCTTTGCCGGTTTAAGACGATCGAAAACCGGCCGCTCCCCTTCCAACTCTCAAGGCACCGGTCAGACCTCTGGCCTTGGTTCTCAAAGGTATCAGCTTAGGCTTCGACCTCCTGTATACCTTTTTTAAGGGAACGCGACGCACGTTGTCGCGCACCCTGTAGGGAGCTCCAGCGACTGCAGATGTTAAAGTACCGCTCAGGAATCATGGCGCAACGGGGGTTCGAGCCGGACCCATTGCGGAAGTCGAATTTAACCATTTGGCCATTCCGCCACCTGACCTCTATCTGATGGTAAGGGGTAGAGCTCACGTACGGCATTGTCATGTTTGCCTCATTAATTTCAAAACACACTTATGATAACAAAAGTTACGAACAGTACCACAAGCCGCCCGAGGTCAAGTCGACAAGTTGAGATCAATGAATCTCCTGCAACATGTCTCTTTTCAAACCATGACTGTTTGCGTGCCCACGTCGGAGGGCACTCAAGAGAGGCCTGCGATTCCCCCCCTCCCCCCCCCCCCCCACATATCTCCACCCGATGCCGACGTCCAGCTCTTTCCGAAAGTAGCAAGGCATATGATAGTAGGGCTCTCTCGCACATACATTCGGCACCATGAAGTCCGCGTGATACCCGAGTAGTTCATTCAGGTATTCATGAATCGTTTTCTGCGTACTGAGTGAGAATAATTTTCCATGTGCGGGCTGTATTCCCTAACCGAATTATTTTTTTTCAGATGAGAGTTGCAGCCCTGGTTGCCGTTTTCCTCTGTTTTGCTAGCCAAAACTGCGAGGGTTATTCCTTGCCAGCTCCAGGTAAGCACGAAGATCGCGTTGTTTTGCACGTAGGGCCGGCCACCGCTTCAGTGCTATAGTTTTTCGATAAGAGATGTTCGCTACCTACAATGAATGCTGAATATGTTAAGGAAGTATCAATGAATGCTGAAGATCATTTGGAAAAAGTGCGCCTGCGCTATGTCACGTCAAAATAACGTCATTAAATTATCCTATTAGACAATCTTTCGTTCGCCAATCTGTTCAACGTCCACACATACTTCCTTTCATTAGCTGGCTTATGATATATTTAGGTGTGTGCGTTTATCGATGGCATGGTAGGTAATTTAAAGGTTCATGCCATCCTAGGTCAGCTCATGATGGTGTTACAACTTGAGCTCTGGTAGCAAAATATATTTCCAATAGTCGTTCATGTATTTGCCTGCCGCGCTATGACCTCCTTTCGCCAATTAGTCCCAGCCTGTGTCACAAGCCCATTAGACGTCAAAGGTATCTTCAGTTCACCCTGGTTCACGCGAAATAGACGTCTCACCGTATGCCAAAGGTTTATGGAAATCTTCTAAATTAATTGAATTTGATGTTTGCCCCACGCCATGTCAATTTAATGCATAATTTTGTGACTACATTCTTGTCATGAAAAATTATACATTGGCCAATAAAACATGTAGTGTATTTGGCACCAAGAATAAGGTCCCATTTCATGGAAGAAAAAGGCTCGATCTGGTAAGATTTTCCATGCACGCATGCATCACAACATTACATTTGTACGTTTGTACGGCCCACCCTCCTCAATTTGGCTCAAAATTTATCTATAGATTCCTCAGGTTAGACGTTTGCCGCTGGCGGTGGTAAGTACCATACCAGAGCCCTGAAGCTGGGCCGTGACCGGCGCGCGCTGTGTGGCGGTGGCGGCGGTGGCGGCGGCAGAAGTGATGGAGGGGGGGGGGGGGGGGGGGCTGGCGGCGCTCCGCTGCGGGCGTGCTTTTTCTGTGGCGGCTGCGTATTTCTGTACCCGCTCGCCAGGTGGTTAACAAGGATGCTGGGCGCCCGAGAGTTCCATGTGTTGTCGCTCAGGTGGAAGCGTCAAGTTATTTTAGTTTATTACCTGATTTGATGGCTGGATAGCAACAATTTTCCGACCGAACGGATATCTGACCAATTTTTCAGCATTGTCATATGATGAGACCAACCAGCACCACGGCAGTAGGTCGGCAACGAGGCTTCTGCACGTCCAGCTGCATTGCTGGTCACCATCATTTTAATGTTTTAAACAGCCTATGAGCTGCCCCCACCGAGGTCTCGAAGGCCGCTGCTGCAGTTTCGTCGGCTGGGGGCGCGGAAGCCTTTGGTGCCCTTCACGAGCTTAGCGTAATTATACTTTTCATCCAGACGGGTCGCAGTTCGCTCGATTTCTTCCTGCTTCGCATGAATAAAGTCGATCATTGAATGAGATCGAAGGAAGCAAATACTAAACACAGCGCTGTTAACCGCAAATACTCTGCATACCCCAGCGAGGACTCGGGTATCCACGATCAAGCCTGGCTGGCTTAATCGGTAATAATCGGGTCATGTAAACTTTTTATCGCTTGGATGGTATGTTTAAGATCCAAGAACCCCTATTTCCCAGACGACGGACAGTCCGAAGCATGCTCAGTGCTGCACACGAGACAAGTATGTAAGGAATACTCGTCTTTCTCATGTTCGGCGACCGTCTTGGTATTTAAGGTGAAACAATTTATCCCTAGTTCGTTATTTTAGTGACCAAAAAATATATTTACCCGGAATGGACATCGAGCAGAATTCCAACACCGCTTGTGGTGTAATGATATGACCATGGTCTGGGCACTGGAGACTCACACGAGCTGTGAGATGTTTCATGGTTCATGAGATCCCATCACATCGGCACGGCAGTTAGCGAAAAAATATAATTCGCACACCATGACAGTCTTCCTTATTTATGCTGGCACATATTTCTGACGTTAAATATGCGTTGACTTGTAACTGCGCTGTGCTTGTTTCTTTGAAGTAACGAACCCTCTGCGTTTCACTTTCTTGGACTTAATGCGTCTGATCGGCTGCCTGGAACGTGTACGCAGCTTCAGAGTTGTGTTGTTTGGCACTACTGTGACACAGAAGCTTGTGCTGCTTACTTCCCTGTAGCTTTCGTGTACACAACGGATGAATGAACTGTAGCCTGATCATCCTCGCAGTGATACCCCTGGACAGCGTTTGGCACTACAAAGGCGCATTCCTCTGAAAAAGCGCCATGGAGTATGGCCTCGTTATGATCCAGTCGCGACTTTATCGTTATGATCCAGTCGCGACATCTCTTTACGGAAGCTTTTATATGCATGTGCTTTGAAGTGATGCCGCGACAAAGTTGTTACCGCACTGGTCATTTTTCTGTGAACTCTTCCACGGGCAGATGAAGAGACACAACAATGGTTCGGTCGGCACTGATCCACGTCATCTGCTTCGTACAAGTGTTCCATTTGTGACAGCTGTATATTCAGCCCATCTTTGCTGGAACACTCCGTACACCTACGACACTCGCACTCGTCGCAATCCCTTTGGGAAACGGATTTTTACATGGTCTATGGTGACGCACTGGTTCAAACCTGAACCGATGCGCTTCTCGGTAACTCGCCCATACCACCGGCTGTGGCCATTACAAACGTTCATTTGTACAAACGTCACCCAGTACAGCGGACAACGACCCTCGGCAGGTTCTGCTGTCGTCATAACGACAGCGGTTGTAAAACTGCAGGAAAGGAAGCCACTCCCCCCCCCCCCCCGTTCGATGCCGGGCTGAGGCCCAAAACCCTCTGCTTTCTGAGCAGCACGTGCGCGATGATGTGCATGCTATTTCATGCAGACTACCTCAAGGTCATCCAGGCACCCGTGTCGTCACATTAACGCCGTTCAAATCCTGCCATTCCACTGGCCATACGGCGTTCAAGGTCAAGAAAATAACAATTGTCAAGTCGTTCATATCTGACGTTCATGAGCACGATTTTCAGATATAACGGTCGTCAGTTGGCTCTCAACCAATGCTGTGCCAGCTATGTAAGATTGTATCACAGAGCTTTGGGTCACAGTACGAGCTATTTTTAAAACAAATGTTGCGATAGACTTGCTTAGCACAAGCGCCATGACCGAGTTTGTGAATACAAGTGAGCACTTCAAGCTTAGGGATAAATGTGCGATAGCATCCCGAGAGCAGGTCAAAACACGTGAGTGAGGCCAAAAATTCCTGGACCCAAAATTACAAGTGCGTTCTGTCGTACAAACGTTCCGTGACGCAATGAAACAATGACATGTCGAGGAGCACATTTACTCAAAAGAGAAACTGTGCTGTGTAGAGCAGTGTTTCCCGCTAATAAGTATATCAGTAGTTGCAATTAAGATTATTTCATCATATCTAGTGCTTGCTTGAACATATTCAAATGTGAAACGTTTCCTTTAGAAGGGTTCTTACAAGACCTCGCTGCGTTTTAGAAAGGGTCACACCCAGGCGGTATTTGGGCAGTGGTGAGCCTGTAACACGTCTGTTTACGTCACTACTCACGAATACGTGCGCACAGTCTGGATCATCTGATGGTCATGAACTTGAGCCAAAAGCGATGGGATCTCTCGGTCGCTGCCCTCGAGGGGTGCGACACCCCAAACCCGTGAGCCTGAGCCGTCAGCGTAGGGCACGTTTCAGATTCACAGCCCAGTCATGCCTCTTAGGATACGGATGCCCATAATTAAAGCGTCTGCGATTGGGTACAGTTGCTCGCGGCTCTCTTTTATGAACATTGTAAGGAATTACGAATGCACGATTTTTTTGCTATATTATTTTTTGGGAAAAAACTTAAAATGAAAAATATTGAGATAGCTATCATTATTGTTCGAATAGACTTTTTACCAGTTGTTACCATTTCTTTTCGAATCAGCTTTCAGGTGTAAAATATCATTGATAATTCCGGAGGTATCACGCTCCCAAAAATGCGGTTTTTGGCATGCAATCATCATTTGACATCACTGCCAACGGTAAACGGATGACTGAATCGGGTTTAAATTGCCAGAGTTGTGTTCACGGCATGCAATAATTGTGTAGAGCCATTTTGAGCAAAATCGGAGAGGAATGGCTGAGTTGGCATGGAACCACCCACCGCTTATTTCGGTATTTGCGATTTCGTAAATACCAGCCTAGAGCAATGAAGCGCACGCCAGAAGTCTTGGACAAAGCCTCTCATATCTTTCGCCGTGACCGAACATGAGATGGTGTTGATGTATATGGTTTGTTAGCGTGCGTACATTTCGTCCGCAGTACACTATACGTTCTGATTTCCCTATTTCATTTCCCATTAGCACGACCATTTCAAAAGATCTGAACGGAAGCTCACTTCTCACCCACTCGCCTCGCCATGGATAGGAAAGCAGGCAGGCGCTCTAAACGGTGGAGCTGCGGGGCTTGCTTCAGACGGATTGAGGTATGGGAGCGGACGAATATCGAATATGGCTACATGACTACGGACGTGGACTACGGGTGCGTTGGGCTACGGGAGAAGTCAAATGAAAAATGAAAACGTCAGTTAGAGAATAGCATTCGTCTTGGCTCTAAAATCTTTCTGATGGCCTCTATATTTTTTTAGCACATCAGGTCAGCAGTGACGACTTTCCAATGAATGGTTGACTCAAAATCTTCCAATGAATCATGAACTTGAAGTAAGAGTGCATTATAATGGGATTAAAGCACTTGCGTGTACATACATACGTGAATTCAAATTGCCACTGGATTCAGCTAAATAACCTCTGCGGTAGTTGAGGAGTCAATCTGGTGAAGTCGCGGAAAGCTAGCGTGAGATGAAGCGTGGCCAAATTGTGTGCGTTCTGACCTATAAGTTTATACTTATGAAAAAACTATGATGCTTGACAATAACATCCACACAATGTAGAAAAGACTTATTTCATGAACGCTTTCTGCGGGCATGTCGGCCAAATGGTCCTCTTCAAGCAAACCTCGTTTAGTGATG